TTTACCTTGTGCGCTCTGAGAGTCTTGCCCTCGCAGGCCAGAGTAACGTCGCAATAAGCTTGCCGCTCGAGCAGCTGTGAGAACATGGTCTGCAAGTTGCTGTGATGGTATTTCCATCGTAGGCAATATTGCTGGGGGAACATGTTGGTGGATGACGTCGCGGGTGGTGTCGTTACAGAACTGCCTCGTTGCTGAAGCATGCGCGGATCTGGTACCGCGGCCAAGCTCTTCCAAGCCAAGGAGGATCCCGTTCCTGTGGTTCCCACACCGTAATCCCACCACCTTTTTCCTTCCACTCCACTCTGCAACATTAGTTTCAACTCGGCTCAGAAAGATCGCCAAGATTCGACCGGCCTAACGCCTGGCTAGCTAAACCAGTAAGGAGAGAAACCTTTTAAACTTCAAATTCATCGATTATCGTTATTTCATTGACGAGGTTTTGGCCGACTACGATGATTAACTATTTAGCTCATGGACATGTTGTCGCGAACTGTATGGTCAAGTATACGTGTACGTTGAACATCATCCAGACGAGATATTTGATTGTTTTTTTTTTTTCTTTTTAAATATTCGTGACAAAAGCATACTTTTTCATTTTGCAATATTCATTCCACGTGAATTTTATTCCTTTCTTTGTATTTATATTTTTATTACATTGTACATTTACTGCACTGGTTTCTACTATATTTCACACGAATATTGTAATCGTAGAAAAACGAAAATCTGCAGTTCGATTCTAATACTTTAAAACTGCAACAGCAATTACAATTATATATAAATAATATGCATTTATGTCTACCATCAATCTCTACATCCAGCGTATTTTACGGAAATCACGTTCAATATGAAATCACGAAAACAATTAAATTCAACGCTGCCCTCCAATTGATATGTTTCCTGTCAGTTTACGTCGGTTTCCGCAACCGCGTCTGACAATCGCTCGTAGTAGAACCGCTGCATTTACAACTTTTTACTCCTTCCGGTTCCCGACGCCACACGTTCGATGCAAACGCGTACAAACGAGGAGGCACGGGAAACTCTCGCACAGGCTTGAAAAAAGAAAAAAAAAAAAAAGATTCTTACGAGTATCGGTGGATGCGCAGTCAGCGAGCCGAGCACGTCCTCCAAGTCAAACCAACCCGGACCTCTGTCAACCGGATGAACGCTTCCAAGACGGTGGCCTTCGAAGCATTTACACGCGAATTCGTTCGAACGTGCAGCTCGATCACGATTGCTCCTGACGACGCTGCCGGGTTCTCTCACGTGTTCTCTCTGTAACACACAGACAGAGGGGATTGACTGAATCGATTCGAAATGTAACACATACACATACACACACACACAATTTC